CAGCGTTGACCGCTCGATAGCGCCGCTTACCCGCGCTAGAAAAAATCAGTCCGGGAACTTTCCGGACAAACTGTGTATTATTCGCAAACACATAATAAATTGGATACGTATCTTTTTATACTTTTAATTTTATAAATATACAACACGCACGTATATATTTTTATATCGTCAAGAAATTTTTGGCGATAACTTAATATTCTACGTGCTATCGCAATATAACAAGATCAATACACGCACAAGGCGAATATCATCTGGGCAATAAATATTGCACCGTGCGGTTGATAAAGTCATCTATTTGTCGACACAGGCAGTATCATGAGCGAAAATATAAATTGGAATTTCTTTTCACGTCCATGAATACAGCCATGAAATTCCGTTCGTCGCAAGCTAAGCCAAGAAAATTACTGTGATTCTCCCGCTCGTGTCAACATATCGTTTCGTGTTACATGTACAGGGTATTCCAGATCTAGCGCAGCACGTATCATCTATAGAATCTTTTTCAAGCAATTTGGAATTGATTTCTCTTCAGCGCGAAGATATCGAGAGAAAAAACATACTTATTTCTTACAATGCGATGATTTTCTGAATAAGTTAAGCGATACAAAAATATTGTGCGCGATTTATGTAAAGACGTTGCACGACAAATAAGATTTTGCTGCCGAGAAAAATACTTTTTAGGAAAGTTACTTTTTGTTTTCTCAAATAGAGATATTAGAAATCAAAATATCTCAAGATGAAAACGTCACTCCTTTCTTTATTTCAACACGTGCACGTTGCGAACGCCGTTCCGAATCTGATTCGCTGAAGTTTCGAAACAATTGGACTACAATTTACTTGCATAATGACTTCTCGTCAATTATCTCTTTCAATTAAAGCACAGTTTGCCGACGCGGTGCGCGAACAACTATAATTGGCCCATTTAAGCTTGAATGCACGCAGAATTTGATGTAATGACCGCGTGAAAAATCGCGCCGTGAAACTTTTTTCACTTCGGTTGACATAATCGATCTGAATCTATCGCTTAGCCGAGCAGAATTCCTGTATGTATTTTTATATCTCGTAAAATTGTCGTCTTAAAAATTGTCGTAGGAAAGTGAGTGTATTATTATTATTACTTCGAGAAAACACAAAACGTGTATAGTAACTCACAACATAATAGCGCAAAATACACATCGCGGTATTCGCACAGTTTTCGTTTTGTTATTAATTTATCCAAGCATTTTGTGCGCGCTGAATAAGAAGACAAATTTCCATCATATAATAACGGTCGGTTCAAAGTAATGGCTTGTGGTTAATTCTCTCGATCATATTCAATCTATAGCGGGACTGCAATTTGCTTCGTTCAATCTTTGAGGCAATAATCTACGTGATCTGACGTGGAAAACCGCAGGTGATCGTGTGTGACTTATTTAAGCGGAGCGCATATTGTCACGATGTTTTCGCGCGCAAAAAGAAGACCATTATCAATTTGACTAAAATGGACTAAAAGCGAAAAGCCAATCGGGAAAAGGGTTATCGACTGCTTATGGAAAATTCAAAATGTTCAAATGTCATATCGCGCAATTATCGAATGTCAGCTGTTGACAACCGTTTGAATTTGATTGATTTAATTATTGCGTGTACAATTTGTGACAGCCGCGTGTTTCTAAAGAGAAGAAGAATAAATCGACGACTGTGTTAATGCAAGTGCAAAATGCTGATACGCTCGTGTGAATATTGACGCGCGGCAAAATATTCGTATACAAAAATATAAATCATAAAATCGCGGAATAGAGTGTCTCAGCGGATTTTCCGCGTGTTACGATACTTTATTTGTAAAAAAATGGCGTGTTGCACAATGCGCGTTAATAATAGACTAAATAATGAGAGTTCGCGCGCGGGATGCTTTCAGATCGGCTTCGGCCGAGCGACGATCTTGTGCAACCCGACAGAGAAAGGAGGAAGCCGAATCGAAGGAGCGATCGATGCAGGACCGATTGCCGTGGCGGCTCCTTCGACACTACGAGGTGCCGCCTAATCGCTGTGAAACTGTCATATCATTCGCGAGTGGTTTTCTAATAGAGAAAACGATCTCGATATAATTGCTCGGCCGCGTCAGGACCGCGGCTCAGTGTTTGTCGCGGACTCGGAGAATCATGAAAAGCAGCCAGAAACCGGTAGCGTCGGCGCTACTGCTGATAATCCATTTGGTAATATTTTGTTAACGATTCCGAAAGCACGACTTTTAACGAAACAAACATACGATACGCGCGAGCGTGAAGGATAAGAATAATCGACCGACACGAATTTAATTAATTAAATACATAAAAGATTAACACATATATCAATTAATGAGTTTTTAACATTTTTTTTAACGAGTATGTAATACGAATATATTTAGCAATAAAGTAAAATTCGCTATGACAAACATTAGAGTACGTACGATTCGCAATAAATGTGGTGGCTGCCAGTGACAGACGATAGCGCGTGTTCGTGTCAACTTTTTAATTAAAGCAATGAGGTCGCGAGGGGACGAATAAATAAGTAATGCACAGATTGCACACAGTGTCGAACGGATTGTTTTGATATATTACATGGAATCTTGTTCGAACTGACATTAATCTAATTAATATATGCGTGACATATTTAGCAAGTATAAATTTGCCACATTTATGAATTAATGTTGCTCTTTTATGTCATGTCAATTAAATGCACAAGACTAAATGAAAAAGACCATCGAATGGTGTCGTTCTTTTAAACGAATAAAAGCTACGTTGATGTTGTGCGGTCGGTTAAAAAAAAAAAAAAAAAAAAACAATATGCAAAACATATTTACATATTTATGACGTTGTAATCTGCACAAAATTAATGTTGACGTGTGTGTTCGCAGTTGACATTACAAATCGATGATGCGGTCGCGAAACGCGACGCTTCAAACGCGGGTAGCGATTCGAAAATTATTCTCGAGGAAGTGATCATCACCGGAATTAACGGCAACAACACTCGCGTGACCGCGAGTGCGGTGGCGGAGGATCCGTCGAAGATCGGCGAGGAAGTACTCGCGTTTCTGTCCAAGGATCAGACACGCAGGAGACGCTCGAAACAGGCGTCGAACCTTGATCAGAACGCGGCGTCGTCGATCGTTGATGAGGTCACTGAGGACGATCTGGAGAGGCTGAAGCGAGTGATCGCAAAATACGAGCCACAGAGGATCACGTCGAGAAAAGCCAAAAGGAAAATCGTCAACCTGCAGAACGCCGGTAAATAAATCGAGATTACTCTTTTTTTTTTTTTTTTTTTT